ACTGAATTTTCGTGCAGAATTTTTCATCAATTCTGCAAAGTAAAGGTCTCCTTCCAGCAAATTTAACGTCGTTCTTTCACGTGGCACAAACCAGATTTTTCCAGTAATTGTGAAGTTTTTAAGCAATTCAGTAAACCTAAATCGAAAAATGAACAAAACCTGGAATTACTTCTTCACCGTTGAGATTTGAACAGGGGTTTAGAGGAAGTTTGTTGTTCCATATCGTGAGTAGAAACACCTCCCGAAATTTTATAAANAGCCGAGATAAAAAAGGAAAAGCGATGGGTAACTCAGAACATTTTTTTGACTACTTTTTCATCTCACTCGCTTCAAAACAGACGTAAAAACGTTAGAAGAAAGAAAATCCACCGAGCCGTCCACGAGTTATAAAAGGAAAAGCAATGGGTAACTCAGAAAATTTTTTTTACTACTTTTCCATCTTACGCGCTTCAAAACTGACGTAAAAACATTAGAAGTAAGAAAATCAACCGAGCCGTCGGGGAGTTATTTATAAGAGGAAAAGCGATGGGTGACTAAGAAATTTTTTTTGGCTACTTTTTCATCTAATTCCCTTCAAAACGGACGTAAAAACGTAAGAAGTAAGAAACTCGACCTTGCCGTCCACGGGATAAAAGAACAAAAGCGATGGGTAACTCAGAAATTTTTTTGACTACTTTTTCAACTTGTTCGGGACAAAACGAACGTAAAAACGTTAGAAGTAAGAAACTCGACCTTGCCGTCCACGAGTTATAAGAGGAAAAGCAATGGGTGACTAATAAAAATTTTTTGACTACTTTTTCATCTAATTCGCTTCAAAACGGACGTAAAACCGTTCGAAGTAAGAAAATTGACCGACCCATCCACGAGATAAAAGAACAAAAGCGATGGTTAACTCAGAAAATTTCTTGACTACTTTTTCATCTAACTTGCTTCAAAACGGACGTAAAAACGTTAGAAGTAAGAAAATCCACCGAGCCGTCCACGCGTTATAAAAGGAAAAGCAATGGGCAACTCAGAAAATTTTTTTGGCTACTTTTTCATCTAATTCGTTTCAAAACGGACGTAAAAACGTTAGAAGTAAGAAAATTAACCGAGCCGTCCCCGAGTTATAAGGGGAAAAGCAATTGGTAACTCAGAAATATCCGTGCGAAAAGTAAAGTAGCACCTTTTAAAACAATCTCCCTACCCCGTGTCGAACTTTGCGCTGCCCTACAACTCTCCTGTCTCGTCAAGCATATCCCCAAATCAAACTTCCCCTTTAAGTCTCGACATTATTTTTCCGACTCCATGATAGTTCTTTCTTGGTTATCGACTCCTCCTGATCAACTCAAGACCTTTGTTGCTAAAAGTGTGGTGCAGATTTTGGAAACAACAGAGCCAGCTGAGTGGAAACGTATTCAACTACCGACAGTAGTTAGACCTCTGCATTTATGAAGCATGATGCTTGGGTGAAGGGTCCTTCTTTCCTTACTAACCCCTGCTTTCTTCAACCTCAATAACTCATGTTAATACCCTCACAAGAGTTGGTGGAAATCAAGCATTCTATTAATTGTATTGCTTGTGTGCCCGATGAAAATTTGATAATAATCACATTTTCAAGGTTCTCGTCGACACTTAGCAAACTCCAACTGGTTTTTGCATACGTTAATAGTTTCATCTTTAATGACGGCAAAAATTGCGATAATTCTTACACTGGTCCCTTGGCAGACCCTGAATTGGGTCAGGCTCTACTCACCTGTATACAGGTGACACAAGGATTTTATTTTGCCAAACAATTGACACTTCTTAAGTACAATGGGCACAGTCACCACTCACTTATTTTTCTCTCCCCATTCCTTGATAAAAGGGCCTTCTCAAGGTGGGCGGCAGATTAGACCAGTCCATGTTACCTTTCCCTTCCAAAGATCCAATAATTCTACCTAACAAATCTCACATCGCTGCCTTAATATGTGACTACTTTCATAAAATTTCTCTTCACTCAGGACCATTAACTGTCCAGTGTCTGATTAGGCGAAAATACTGGATTGTGCCTTCACGTTCTTTGATTCGTCAACGCATTCCTCGTTGTTTAACCTGCCATAAGTGCAGAGGGAAGACAGTGATTCCTCTTATGTCTGATCTACCTGCATTTCTAAGCAAACCCACCCATGCTTTCACTCATGTCGGAACAGATTTCGGCGGTCCCTTCATGATTAGGGAATCCCATCGTCGAAAACACCTTCTTACAAAAGGATACTTATGCGTCTTCATCTGTATGTCTACTAAAGCGGTTCATTTGGAAATGGTTTCTAAATTAAACACGGAAGTTTTTTGTCCTGTTTCGACCGTTTTATCTCGCGAAAGGGCTATGCTGACTGCGGTCGAAATTTCGTTGGAGCTCCTCGTCAGTTAGTCGAATTTCGGCAATTTCTAAGTGACCAAGAAAACGTACTGCATTTTCATGCCTCTTAGAAGGGTATCTCATGGAAATTCAATCCTCCCGGTGTTTCTCATTTTGGTGGGATATGGGAAGCTGCGGTCAAATCTTCGAAAAGGCTGATACATCGTCTAATCGGAGATACTTCTTTAACTTTCGAGGAATATTGTACCTTGTTTGCAAGAATCGAAGCAGTCCTCAACAGCCTACCCCTATGCGCTATTCCTCCCGATTATAAAAACGACTCAGATTTTCACAGTCCAGGGCATTTCCTAACCTGAACCGGATTTCTCGGAGCAGCTTCCTCCTTTTACTCGTTGGAAGCGAGTAAAACAATTGCATCAAATATTTTGGAGGAGATGGTCTTCAGAATATTTAAATAAGCTGCTGCAGCGGAATAAATGGCAGGAGGCCACCCCATCCATAAAGACGGGGGAAGTCGTCTTCCTCAAAAACACCCGTACCTCTCCACTTTCATGGGCCATAGGGAGAGAACAGGAGATCTTTCCTGGCCCCGACTCGTGTAATTTAGTGGTAAAGTCCGAACTACCGCCGGTTCTTTCATAAGACCTGTCCACAACTTAGTTGTACTTCCTCCTACTGACTAAGAACCTTATTTACTTTCTCCTTGTATATAGTGGGTTTTGCCTTCCCAGAACCTATACATTTTAGTTTAATATTCTTTGTTTAATTTCTATATAAGTGGTGTAAATTTTCTTTAAAATTTGGTGGGCGGAATGTTTACGCCAACTGTGCATATGTAAATAGATCGTACTCTTAATCCTACAAGTAGTTGTTTTCCTGTGATCCCCTCTTCTTACGCGAGCCAACTTCACTTCTCATGGAATTCTCTTACGATCACTCATCATATTCTCTCCAGCGTTTGCGATATTTAAAGTGGTACCAGTGATTTAACTTTTTATTTGGTTCAACCTGAAATTAATATTCCCAAGAAAATTAGCCGAAGCTGTACACCGGAGACTACGACGGACTCGGGCCGGAAGTTGCGTCGTCGCTGTGAATACGACAAGTTTCAGTAAGGTGAGTTTCTGGGCATTATTTTCGGTTGAATGGTTTTATTTAATTTTATTTCATTAAATTTGAAACATTGGCTCACTTTAATTTTCTCATTTATTTTCGTTCATTTTGATTTTTCATTATTTAATTTTTCATTATTTAATTTTCTTATTCTATTCATTTTTAAACAGTTTATTATATATGGCGGGGAAGGAAAACGTCCGTGCACCCGCGGGAATGACGTCAACAGTAAGCAGAAAAGAAACCCCAAAGGAGGGGAGAGAACAGAAGTAAAGAGAGAGAGGAGCGTCATTCCAAATACGTTGGGAGTAGCTGGAAGTTGTTTTCCATCCTTGTGTCAAGTTTTAAGAGTTTAATATATATATATAATAAGTTCTGGCCACAGGCTTGAACCGTACCAACATAACTGGTGTTTCAGAATTACTGAGCTGACAAGATAGAGTTTGATTACTGGGGGGAGGATCGGCAATCGTTACATCCATTTTAGGTGGAGGCGAAATGCGAGAAGAAACGTCCGCATTTGGAAAACCAGTTGCACAGGTGGGATGCAGGAAAGTATGGTGCTTATTGGTGCCACACAATCGGCAAGCACGTATAGAAGTACATTGTTCTCTAGCATGAGCACCTAAACAATTGAAACATCTCTTCAATCTTCGGACGGTTTGGTACCTTTGATTGATGTCTTGTTTCAGCAAATTAGGACATTGAGTAAAGAAGTGAGAGTCTGATTACAAAATACAGGATCTGTTGCAAATCCTAGAAGATTTTTCAATAGCGAGGGCGGGAGTAGGAGCAGAGGTTTTGTGAAGCAACGTGTTGATGTACTTAACTTTGTTCGTCGTAGGTCTTAGTTTCTGACTATTACTTCCAGAAGAGGAAGGAGTACATGAACAAACTTCGAAGACCCTATTTTTCTCGGTAATAAAATCCATTAAATTTTGAAATGAAAGTATTTTTATAGAGGAATTTTGATTTTCAAATTCCTTGCGGGTCGTAGGATCAAGATTATTCACATCTAATTGAAATAATAAAAAATCAGAGAGGTTCGGAAGATTTAAAGACTTTAAAGCGTTAATGGAATTTTTATGAACCGTCAAAAAATTGCTCAAGGATTGGTGTAAGGGAGATTTGAGAGGGGAAAAATTCAAAACTTTGTTGACGTAAACCGACGCTAGCAATCGTTTATTTTGGTAACGATCCTGCAAAGCCTGATAAGCACAGAGGTACATTTCGTCATTAATTTTAAATGCTGACAATAGCTAGAGGTTCATCTTTTAAACATAAAAGAAGGTAAACTTATGATTTTTCCTTCTTGAAGGTGGGATAATAGGTTATCTCAAAAAAACCACAACCAGTTTTTATCCACACGTATCGGATTTATTTTAATCCTTCCTCAGGTGAGTTAACGCCTGTACACAGAACAAATATTTTTTACATTTTTAGATCAACATGGTTATCATTGTTTCTTCACTACTTACAATGGTTAAAACAATGGTCGTCAGTATTAATATTTTATAACAGTTTATTTTAAAAAAGAGCCTGTTTACGCCGTAAGGATTACTCGGGATAAGATTTCGGAAAACCCCCCGCTGTTTCCGGCCTCGTCGTAGGCCAGATCGAGGCTTGAATTCGTCGTGTCATCGTCTTGAGCAATTGTAATTTTTTATAAGTCGTGATCCAGCTTAAAGTTTATTTGATTTCGTTTATTGTCTTCATTTTATGAATTTATCGTCGTCATCGCTCCGGTTGGTTATGTTACTGAGACATCTGCGTGGTGAAGGTCCCCCGTCCCGACTTTTCCTGTCTTTTCCGACCATTTTCCTCTTAGCATCCCCCTTTACCTCAGTTTAGGTAGCTGGACTATCGTCACCGGAAGTGAGTGTTTTTTTCCTTTTTATTTTAAAATTCATTTTATTTTAGTTTAATTTTAAACCCATACAGTCCACTTGATCAGACAGAGCCAGTGTGGTACTTATTCGGACTACGAACAAACGTTTTAATATTTTGAACCTGACGACTAGACTCTTATCACAACCTCTTATCAACATCTTATCACAGAACAACGAATTAACATTATAAAAACCACTCAACAGTTAAAATTACATTTTTCTTAAAAATCTATTTTTAAACAACAAATTTTATTTATTTTATTAACAATATTTTAACAATTATTATCACAACTATCATAGATTTTAAGTTTCCTCCAGAGTTTAAAATTGACTAGATTATTTTTATATATTGTTTAACAAATTAAAATAGCAATCACTTATCATATCACAGTCTTGATGGTGATTAACAGACAGTTTACCTTTTTTTATGTAAAGGTCCTCCAGGAACTTTCGTTTTTTACTATTTCGTTTCTTTGTAACAATACTAACATCATCAAATAAAAAGGTATGACCTTCAACAACTGCATGTTGTGCCAAGGCAGTTTCAATGTTTTTACTAGTTTGGACTGTATTTCTGTGATAAATTCTATTCTTTAGGTATTGTTTGGTTCCACCATAGTATACTTTCTTGCAGTCTTTGCATTCAATTTTGTATACCAGGCCTGATTGTAGTCCTTTCTCAATTTTATCTTTTAGCGGTGAGTAGTATTTTTTAACCGCATTACTGTTTCGGAAGGCCAACATAACTAGACAGAACTTCCTTTTCAGACAACTTCTCAACTGTTCCCATAACCCTTGGATGTAAGGGAAAGGGACATAGGAAATTTCAGAATCATTTTCATTTTTTCATTCATCATCTTCATTTTTACTATTCTTAAGTAAATCCGTTTTTAAAAATGAAGATTAACAATTTTTATTTTTTGGTATGTATTTTCTATTTTGTTTTATCCCACTAACAAGAATATTAGTTCATTGAATTAAAATTAATATAATAAAAATAAATTACAGACACCCCTATTTTTCGTCGCAACAGCAAAAAGTTGCGTTGATTATTAAAACGGTCGTGCAATGTGTAGAGGTGTTTCATTTTTCAGCGCAACAGTTTGAAATTAGTTCCTAAATTCCAATAAGATTGTCCCAGGAAAGAGCCATGATTGTAAGTGTTGTTTGTTTAAATACAATCATCTGAAACATGTCTCAGACTACCACGTGTTTAATATTCAGCTTTCATTGTTTCATGTCCACTTGATTGATGAGAAGGTGCGTTGGTGAAGTCGTTTTACGGTGGAAATTACCTTGAAGACTACTTGAAAATTGTTCCACGAACAGCATCCTCAACGTCCGATACCGAGTCTGTCACAATATCATCCAGTGATTTTGAGTTTTCAAGAAACAGGAAACGTTAAGCATGCTCATCGAGGTTGTATGTATCACCGGAGCGATAACATTAATGAATGTCTTAATGAATTAACGAAATGTCGTATATAAATACAAATTTTATTTTTTAATTTTTTATTGCTGTTTTCAATGTATAAATAAAGTTGCAAAGTACTACCTACTGCAAAACAATATGCACCGTCTGATAATAAATTTCATTGCCACCTGCAACATCAATTATTTTTCTTATAATTTCTGTTTGCAATACTTGCATGTATCTTCGTCTAGTTAGAGTTGCACAAAAACCTCATATAATTACGAGAATTTTGAAGGCCAAATATCTAACACAATTTTTTTTTACTATTGATATAGTTTTTATGAGACCGCCCTGTAGGGTGCATTGACCAAGGGGTGAGTATTGTATTCTGCTGAAGGCCCGCCCTCATTCATAAATACAGTCATATTGATTATAACTTTTCATACCATAGGTAGAGCTAAAGATTGGGGAGCCACTGGGGAGTCTAGCAGAAGACAATGATAAACCCTTTTGGATGTATGTCAGATGCAGGCTTAATGCGTTGAAAAACAATGAGTCAATCCTTGTCTCTAAATATAGTAAATAACCAGGAGTATCCTTTCTTAAGGAAAACAACCTTTTGACGAAATATTTATTCAATTTCTGTACACTGTCATATCATTTATAACCCCAAACCTGAGCACCATATAACATTACCGCCTTGGAAACAGAGTTAAATATATTATATTTTGTTGAAATGGGAACATCACTGTTGGGGGAAGGGCGGATCTTAATTGACCCTGCAAACTTCCGTACCTGTTTCTAGAGGTACAATTAAATTTTTTTTCTCTTTTAAATAAGGTGGCAACAATGTATTATACTTCAGAGGTTTTGGGAAAAATGAAAGGGGAGATTGATAATACTTTAAAGTAAAAATTGAATATTTACAATTTATTTACACTAAGCAAAAAATTAAAAGAAATTTCTTTAATTATCCAAAATTCATAAGCAAACCTTCTGGCGAGGGTTTTAAAAAACAAAATACCAAAAAAAACAACTAAAAGGTACTTGGTGGGATGACTCCTCGCTTCTCCCAGCAATCGAAATAAGCGGTGTTGAGATGGAGGTTACTGCTGGGTTCCACTTCGACGAAGGTGCCTGTAGAGCCGGATGACGAAAACAGTTGACGTAGTCCGTAAGGTCGGTGATGTGACGACAAGGTGTTGAACAGAAGAAATCGATGGTGAAGGTCCAAAGAAAATCGATATTAGGTTCGATAATCGATTCGGTAAACGGTGCGTCTTGTGCTGACCCAGGCAAGCGAGAGACTAACTTACTCCCGTGCAAAGGCCGAAGATACCGGCGTTATCGCTTGCCAAAATAAAAACAATAGGGCCCTCAGCGATTTAAACAGGGCCTCCCGAGGCGAACCTTGGTCATCCGAAAACAACAAGAAAATGAAGCTTCTTGGGCGTCCACCAAATTTTTACAAATTAAAATAAGGAAAATTTTTATTGAATGTGAACTCTACTCATGCTTCTCTTCAACGTGCTCAGAATCAGGATGCGGAAAAAGAGGTACAAGGCGGGAAACAGGTCTCACGTACTGGCCGGTAGGTGTTTTTAGTTTGACAACTCTTACAATTCCATCTTCCCCAGGATACTGTTCGACCACTCGAGCAGTAAGCCAAGATAAAGGAGGGGAAGCCGCATCCTTTATTAGGACGAGGGTGCCTGGTTCTAGGTTAGGATGGTTGGCAGTCCATTTTGGGCGTGGTTGTAAACAGGTGAGGTAGTCCACCCGCCACCTCTTCCATAAATCTTGACAACTCTTTTGCAAGAACTGCCAACGGGAAAGGGAATTGGTAGGACTGTCCGTCCAGTCAGGTTCGGGAAGGGTAGCCAGGGCATCCCCTACTAAGAAATGCTCAGGGGTTAAAACGGAAAAATCGTCGGGTGAAGAGGACAAAGGGTAAAGAGAACGAGAATTCAAAATTGCTTCAATTCGAATGACGACTGTTGAGAGTTCTTCAAATGTAAGGGGTTGTTGGTCTAGGATGCGGGTTAAATGGAATTTCAAGGATTTCACTCCTGCCTCCCAAAGGCCGCCGAAGTGAGGAGAACCGGGAGGAATGAAGTGCCAGGTAACCCGCTTTGCAAGTAAATGCTGATGAATACGTCGACTTACTTCCTCCGATTCCAACCATTGGTATAATTCTTTTAGTTGGCGACAGGCTCCGATGAATTAGTCGCGTTGTCAGAAAAGATTTTGCTTGGGATTCTCCTTCGACTAACGAACCTATCTAACGCTGCAAGAAAGGCGTCTGCGGATAAACGTGAGACAACATCGATATGGATGGCCTTTGTGGCGAAGCAAATGAACAGACTGATGTAGGCCTTTCCCAAGGCCGCCTTGCGGCGGGGTGATTCGCGAATGGGGAAACGACCAGCAAAATCTACTCCAACAATTATACATGGGCGACCTTGTGAATAAAAAAAAAACAATAGGGCCCTCAGCGATTTAAACAGGGCCTCCCGAGGCGAACCTTGGTCATCCGAAAACAACAAGAAAATGAAGCTTCATGGGCGTCAACAATCACTATTCGACAAGAGAGACTTCCAAGTAGAATTAATACTAAATTTGGCTACATTTAATTTTTCTTTAAGATGTCTTTCCNTGATCGGGCTCCACGTGTTTCATCTTCATTCTATGTGCCACGCTCGGGAACAACGCGTATGTGTGGCGTCCTTTGGTTGATGCGTCCCATCTTTGTTGCCACTTCGCGTTTGCGACTCGTATGCATGGAGTTCTCCCGTTTTTTAGCTCCCATTTAGCACATAGAAGTCTTGCCTGCAGGTCCACCGGGGCTCGTCCCGCAAGAACCAATAGTGCGTCCGTCGATACCGTCCTGTAAGCTCGAGTAACAGCCAAGAGTGCCGCACGCTGCGATCTCTCCAGTTTTGCCCATTCGTATAATCGAAGCTCGTGCGTCCATGCCGGGGCGGCATACAGCATTACTGTGTCGCACAGCGCTGAGTAGTAGGTGGAGCGGGTGCTGAATGAAATGCCCCATGAGGCACCGCTCTGTTGTAACCGTTTCAAAAGTACCCAACAAACAATTTCGATATAGTATCAGAAAAGGCAATCCCTCTACAATTGCTGACAACACTCCTATTACCCCCTTTAAATGACGGGAATATTATTGCCTTACTAAAACTACTGGGTATCACATTTGTATCATAAATATAGTTAACAACTCTTAGTAATTGGGTTTGAAAGTTAGCTGAACTGTTCTTAAAAAAATCGTATGGAATACGATCATACCCTGGTGCTGCCGGTTTCGGCTTAATATGAAAAATAAAGATATCTAAATATAAGGGAAAAAACTGAAACTGCCCTCTTTCAATTTGGTATAAAATTTGTCCCTGTACTACTTTAGGGTTATAGAAACGAAAAAAAGGTTAAACTAATTTAAGGCATGCTTTTGAATTGGAGTTAAGGATTACAACATTAATTAAGGATTAATTGGGATGTGATTTTGTTTGTGAAATATGTTCTCTGATAGTTTTTTGCGGGTTGGATTCTAAGTAAGCTTTATAGGTTACATCTGACAAAATTTTAGAGACTGTGTATGGCTCGGAGAATTTATAGGACAATTTGATAGATATTTTGTTTTATTTATCCGATAATGTGTGCGTTTGTACTAATATCTTTTACCCTATCTTAAGTCGAATATCTCTATGTTTTCTTTTGTACCACTTCTTTTGGATATAGTATCCCTTTTTGATGTTTTTCAAGGCTGTTTGCCACATTTCATTATACGTTGTTTTTTCTTGTGTAACCGGTACTTCCCATTTCAAATTTAACGGGGTATTCGGCTTTCTTCCTAGGAATAATTCGGCGGGGGTGAAGCCCGTAGATAAGTTGTTGGCGGTGTTTATATCCAGTTGAAAAAATGACAGATTCTGCGACCACTTAATTTGATTAGGGGCCTTCACACGTACGCTCAAGAGTCGACGATTGAGCGGGACACTCAAATCTACGCACAAAAGCGTCAGTGTAAATGCGGTTCAGCGTGGAGGTTTGAACGGGGCTGATGCGTCATCAGCGCCGACGGTTTTGATCGCACTCCAATTGAAGGTCAGGAGCGACAATGTAATTCACAGTTTTACGTGAGGGTTGGAGTGGAATCAAAAGTGGGGTTAGTCGTCGACGCCGAGTTGTTCATTACGTTCTTATACTGTCGATCTGCTTCTGTTCGCTACTGTTCTCAAAAGGTTGCCAAAAATCTCAGAGCGGCTGTAAGGCGTTGTTCGGCAGAAATGCTAGGTCTCATCACTGTGTCCCTTTTCTTAATTCTTCCCTCTACTAAACTGAGAAATAAATCAAAAGTATAACCATCCATTCTCAGATAATTTCTGAAATCGTCAGGGTAATTTTCTCTGAGTTCTCGAACAAGTGGTTGATCGTTGAAATCTTCCCTGAACCTCTTCACCCAAACACGACGTTTTCTTTCTAATTTCTTCCGTAGGTAGACTACACAACCAGCAGCAGCCACAGAAACAGCTTGTTTATAATGATTGTCAACTATTATAGCCATTTTTATTATGTATGCTGTAACACAGTCACTTGGCGTGGAATGAATTCCAATATTTGGAAACTTCGCACGCCACTCAGGAATGACGTTAAAACTGTAAGTTTACTCTTTACACGTACGTTTTTGAGCGGACGAATACAGCGTCGAGGTTTGCGTGGGGTTAAGAGTGTGGCGTCTAAACACGACCCACTCCTGCGTGGCACACTCTTTTTTCATCTTAACTAAAAACCTTAATTAATTGTCATGTATTAATTGGTCAAGCGAACCACGTAACTCGTGAATTAATTATTATGAATTTAGTTGATAGATCATTTACGCTCAGTGGCAAGTGTTTCCATCACAAGAACAAATTAAAAATAGAAAAGATTCTTGTATCGAACGGTTAATCCAAATCTCTGATTAGCAGGGTTTTACACCAAAGTCATTAACTCAGGCAATACTGATATGGATAGGCAGATTACTCCATCCATTAACAATAAAAAATTTAGTCCTTTAACCTTTATTAAAGACATGTCAAAAAAATTAAAAGTTTTATTGGAAAATAAAATCAATGATGTAAAAATAGTTTATAAATTTGAAAACAAAATAGGTAGAAAGTTT